AAGGCTTACCCAGCCAGAGCCTACAACCACTATCATAGCGAGTCGAATATATATAGTCCTCAATGCAGCATGACAGATCGGGTCAGACCCAAACACAGGTTGAGCGAGTGGGCTCATGGGCTGACCCAGCCTAGTGCACACCCCTACCCACTGATGAAGGGGGTTTCAAAATTTTAAAGTTGAGATAGGTTATCTACAATACCCCAAAACTTAAAGGGAATTTCCTAATATTAAATATTTGGAGCGTCTCTAATACATTCTTAATAACTAGGGGGGTTTTCAAAAATTAGCCCTAAATTTTAACTAAAAAAGAATTGTCGGGCAGTAAAATTTCCTATTAGGGGCTATTTGTTTGCTAAAAAAATGAGAACCCCCCCCCCCCCCCCCCCCCCAACCCCGCCATGTATGATTCCAAGAAATCTCTCCCCGTCATATAGGATTTTGGTTTCAACCGGTTTTCAAATCACACGTTTGTTTCGTTTTGTGATTTAAAGAAATGAGGGTGTCATGTATGATGCCACGTCAGATTTTTGAGAAAAGTGTTTTCAAACCAAAACCATCTGAAAACACTTGGAAATGTCACTTCAAAGAATTTTTAATTACTAAAAGCACTGTTGAAGCGGCGCCTGGGAATAAAAAGGATTATTTAATTGCTGAAAATACTATTGCTTTTGCGGTTGATTTCCATTTCTTTTTTGTATGTTCAAACAAACACAAGAAATGAAAATATATGATTAAAAGATAATATTTAATTGCTGAAAACACTATTGTTTTTGCGGCTAAGTTTTTTTTAAATGTGACGTGATAGGGATTTCATTGCGAAACAAACGGAAAAAAAAAGTAAGAAATGTGCTGAAATGTCTTAAAATGAGTTGGAAATGTGTGTTTTCCATTTTTTTTTTCGGAAAACATCCAAGCCGTTAGGGCAGAACTGAAAACTCACCGGCTGCGGTACTTAATGACACGACCCACATGGGCAGTTATTAGCCGTCCATTTAAGACCTCCTTTATCTGATCAGACACCCGAAATCGTTGGATCAGCGTCGGCTGTACATCGGCCTCAAAACAATCTCTCCGAGGCTTGACCTCGTCTCCCGCTGACACGAGCTTCCCACGTGAGCGGGCCCGAGCAAGAGTTTCCGTCAAAAGAATTTACTGGATTTGGTAAAAAAAGATAAACGGTGGAAAAAGGTTAAAAGAGAGATTAAAAAACATTAGAGTGACGGGAAAGACCATTTGAGAGGGGGACAAACGGCTTGGGACGCCCTGAGACCGCCTGCATACTTCCTGTAACCAACGTGTCTGTTCCTTCCCCTCCCCCCAATTATTCTTTGCTTATTATGAATTAATTGTCTACTTACGAAATGTCAATAATGCCCTTTCGCACTTGCTCCACGTAAGTAATATTCATGTTCTAGAGTTCAGTTGCAAACTACCATTTCACTGCACCACCTCAAAGCAGGGGTGATGATTGAGAATTGTAATTAATTCAGACTGTAGCATGTCTCTGTAGATTGAGCGCTTTCTCATAGGATGAAGCCTAGACTCGAGATAGATGCAGCATCAGATCTGTTCTTAAATTCGATCGGAATTTATAGCCGAAGTGGATTGTATCATAGTGCGAATTGAACGTTTTCGGTTGCTATTTGTTTCAGGAAATAGAGGGTGCGAATCTAGGAAATAGTGGGTGTGAATCTATCTACTTACCTGAAAAGTTTAATCTGTTAGGTATTGACTCTATCTCACTCGTATTTAAAATCACAACTCTTTCTTATATTTTCTAATGTTGAACCATATATTCACATATGAATATCCAGACGATCTCTCATTCCATTTCAGTACAATTTAATCATTCACAAGAAATAATGGACCCCTTTCACGGACTTGGTTTGAACCAACAACCATGAAGACGAATATGTCGGCATTCAACATCAACTATGTGCTTTCGCCTATATGTTGGACACTAACTAGACACCATCACAATGACAATCATTTATGGGTTTTGCAATCATAATATAGTAACTTATCCTAAGATCCAGGGCCGGCCCCGAGGTTTGGGTTGCCCTAGCCCACTCCTTCTCCGAACCTCCTCCTCCTCCCTTCGTTGGTTGCCCCCCGGCCCTGGGTTGCCCCAGCCCCGGGGCTTGGTGGGCTTACCCCAGGGCGGGCAATGCTGAGATCTTCCACCATTTTTAGGGTCTGGTGGACTAAATTGACCTCAACCATCCTTCCAACACTTTCTGACTTCACATTAGATTTCTCTTGCTCATAAGTCTTGGCTCTCAAACAAGTTGTTAGGAAGAAATTGGAGTCAACTGAGAACTAATTGGTCTCAAATAAAGTCTAGGAAACAACTTATCCTAAAAGTTTAATCTGTTAGGTAATAACCTAAACTTGCATTTAAAATCATCGTTCATTCATTCTTTCCACCGTGATATACTATGCTCACACATGAATATTAGGGCCTATTCGGCTTGTCAAAAAAAAATCATGGAAATCAAAGTTTTAATAATTTGGTGTTGGCCACATTAGAATTTGAAGTTGATACATTTCTTTTTCTTGTGTTTGTTTCGATCTTGGTTTTTGGGAAATAGGGGGTCGAAAACCACTGCCACTTAGATTTTTTAGGAAATGTGATTTCAGAGCTCAAACCTCAGAAATTGGCTTGAAATCTAAATTTTTAGCATTAAATATTGTGTGATAATATTAAGGGGGGAAATTGGAGAAAAGGATTATGGGTTTACAACATTTCCTATTACCTATTATTGCCTACCAAACAAAGAAAATTGAGGAAATCAAAAGATATTGTCAAATTTCTTGCTTTTAAACTTGAACCAAACAAGAGAAAATGATTTTTTTTTTCCCATATGACTTTCATGCGAAAAAAACTACTTCTAAGAAATACATAGAAATGCGCTGGGATAAAATTTCCATTTCTATTTTTTTCAAGGATGCGAACCAAACAGGCCCATATTCAAAAAAAAAAAAAAATCCCATTAGGGTCGCATTGGCGTACGTATAAGTTTCCAAATATCAATTGCGGAGCACATTCCACACATGAATTTGATTGATCCTGCGTTGAACAACTCACCAAATCCGAACCCCGCTATTAACCGGCGTGATCCAAGTTCAGTGTCTGTTTCCACTTCTTGCTTTCAATCAATAATACGCAGAAAAAAGCTAGGATGTGATATTTATAGGCAAGACCCAACTCGCTTTATTAATAGCATCCCAACATCTAATATGTACCAAAATTTCACAGATAGCTCCACTGGGAGCTCGAACAGGTTGTGGTCCAAATTTTCCTCAAACTGCAAAGAAATTAGCTGATGATGATGAGACTGAATCTATCACTTACAACTTAAACAACGAAAAGATGGGAGAAGAAGCAAAGCACTCTGAAGGAACCACGTTTAACGAGTGTACATGGAAAATCTATTTATGGCAAAGGACATGGGTAGTATTGTCATTTCCACTGCAGTGGGAGAATTTTAAACAGGGTGGTAGCTGCGTAGAGAGAGAGAGAGGGAGATTCTCAGGGGCAATAAAAGTTACTGAAAGATCTGAGAGCCTCAGGCAGGAGCTACAGTGGGAGTGAGCAGAACGAGTGGGGGGAGAGAGAGAGAGAGAAATGGCTTGAGATCTCTATTTACTCTTTGTGCCCTTTTAGCTCTGTTTCCAGGGTTTTTTTTTTGGATGGAGATTAGGAGGAGGGGGAGAGCTGGGTTGGTCTCAAACTTGAATAAATTGGCTCTCCTTTGCTTTGTCTGTGTGCTTATCTTCTCCATCTGTGCTCTGTTCTCTACTGTGTGCCATGGGAGAGCTTGTTCAGGTAAGCAATGCAATTCTTTTGGATTTTTTTTATTTGTTTGTTTGAGTGATTTTTGGAGTATCCATTTGAGAATCCTATGGTGTTTTGTGATTAATATTTCTTTATTTTTTTCCTTTTTGTTACTCTGTTCTATGTCTGTTTTGGCAGAGAGTAGAAGCTCATCTATAGAGTATTCTCATAATCAGGTGCTCTTCTTTTCTTCTCTAGTCTCTTTAGAATTTATTTTCCCTCTCTGCTCTGTGAAATTAATTACCTTTTTTTTTGCAATTTTAATCAGTGTAAAAGAGCGCCTGAGATATTTTTTTCTGGTCATTGTATGTACTCTATAGAAACTGTCAGCCATCTGTAACTACAGCGAGCCGCCAAAAATTTACTGTTCCGGCGGTGCAAGTTAGTAATTAAGCTGTATATGGTAGCAGCAGGACCACGGGGATCTCCTAACTTGCGCTTCCTGAGTGTCAATTGGGGAACAGCGTATAATTTCTCACTTGGTACAAATGAAGTTAACAGTTTAATAGGAGTCTGATTAGAGGTTCATAATGGATTTGGAGAGAATTTTGAGATGATAAGCTTGAGAATGATGAGAGCGCATCTGTTCTATACTCCTGTAGTGTTGCTGGTTCATTAAAAGGACATTAACCCTTGAATCGAAATACACGTTCCAAGTTCAGCGTTCAAAGGGTTGATATCTTTTTGTTGCACCATAATGATAATTTCTCTACGGTATAATACAAATAAAGCAATAGAAATTACAAACATAATTAAAGCTTGAGCAGCTACTACTTGCTTATGTCCAAACTGCTTAGTTGGGGCAAAGCAAAGCACCTCCAAGTTTCATACTAGAACTTCAAATAAGTCTTTCTTTAGTATGCTACTCTCAAATCTCCGATTATCGTTTCGATTATCTCTTGAAATCTTTAAAAGGACAGACGTTTGTGAGGATTATTTCACATTCATTGAGTTCGGTTATGAATTTGGTGTAAGAAGTGCTGAATATGGTTGCACTAAAACAATTGGAAACTACTCAGTTGACTTGCATCGAAAGCTAACGTAGACTGTAAAGACAAGTAACAATGGAATTGAATCCATTCCAATTGAAAGAAGGTCGATATTTGGATAGATCTAATCAAAGACTTTTATGAGAATGAATCCCATATCCATACCAACTCCAAATAAGAGGGAAGGGCCTAGGGATATTCATCGTAAACCCTCAAAAAGAAGAACTTCAAAGAAAAATTACAATGAAGAAATTACTTTTGTGAGCGATCTCCATGAGGAAAAAAAACACTGTAATCTTTTTCAAATACCTTCCCTTGCCCATGGACATAGGAAAATTGTTGGACCACATTAAACCTTATTCTTTGTATTATTATTTGATTTCTGTACTTGTATCAAGGGGTTTTAGATACTAAGTGAATCCCAAGAATTAATACCATCCTAAACCAACAATATAAGGAGAAAATGAGAGATTTAGTCTTACATTGGAAAACTAGTTTGATTGATAGATTGTTCAAGTGTGGTTGAACTCATGATCCTATCTAGACTGTTGTATGACATTCACACGACACAAACTCAAAGTGTTAACAGTGTAAAACTATAATCCTTAACTGCTTACCGCAGCTCCAAGTATTTCACTACTCGAAAGCTCGAAAATTGTGGTGAAGATTAAGGGTCATAATTTTGCATTCTAGCATGCTGGTGTGTGGAGCGCAAGTTCGAGCACATGAGCTCTCATCTACTTTATTCCTACCTATCTTGTTTCCGTAGTCTGTTTAACAAAGCTTTTCCAGAGCTGCCATACTTTTCTTTTTCTCTAAAACTGTACGATTATTGGTGTCTCATCACTCAATGGATGATGAATCGTGCACCTTAATTACACGATAAATGATGAACTAATACATATCTACTAACTCAGATCCTGATTCATGTTTTAGATGTCAAATTCAAGAAGACGACTAAGCGTTGGAGGACCAGGTTCCTATCCTCCCCGGTGCTCAGGCAAATGTGGTGCCTGTAAACCGTGCTTCCCTGTGCACGTGCCGGTTCCTCCTGGCACGCCAGTGATTACCGAATACTACCCTGAAGCCTGGAGGTGCAAATGCCGCAACAAGCTCTACATGCCCTAATGAGCTTATACCCGGATGTGCATTATTCGTTGTGGAAATTGCTTCTTGTGTTGCTACCAAATTATTGAATCTTGTGAGCTAAAATTGGAAGGCATAAGGCAATGAGAGGGGGCCAAGCTTGCATGTGGCTTGTGTTGTCACCACTGCATCATTGTTCACATGTACAAATTTTTCTACCGTATGAGAGGAGTTTGTAGATGCATGTCTATACGATCATATAGTGTTTTTGATGACTGGTAGAAATTTGTGTAATTTTTTTGTTGTCCTAAGAGTTATGCATGTCGTAGCATGCTTTAAGCTTGTTTTGTTAATTATTTGGGACAGTTTCGGTTGATTGGATCTGATGTCTTTATTCCCTGTCTCTTTACTGATTGTTTTGGTTTAAGTTCTTCTCTGTGTGGTTTCTGAGATTTATGTACGATAATTTGGCGAATAGTTTCTTCTTCTTTTTTTTCTTATCAGATTGGTACGTTTTGTACCCTTCTCTCACCAGTTGGGTATTCTTTTAGCTCCGGCGACGTCTTGGTTTTTTTCTGAGTCAAATGTGCAATTAGATCCAAAACAAAACCTCATCTAATGCTATTAGTGCTATCTTATTCATGTGGAAATTAAGTATCAAGATATCATTTGGTGCATTGATCTGAACATAATAATTATGCCCAAGCGTATATAAGAAGGTTTATTCTATTATAATGAATTAAATTTTGGGACAAAGAGTGGAAGCGCATGATATTACCTCCAAATATAGTGAAAGAAAAAATTGGGAGGCCGAAAAATGGTACGAGGAAGAGGTTCTGCGGTTTATCTTTTCACCGGGAGTGAAATTATGGGTCTAATTGCACATTTGGCTTGCAAAAAGTACCAAAATATCGCTAGATGTAAAAAAAATAAAAAATAAAAAATAAAAAATCAAACTAGTAAGAGAAATGTTAAAAAAATAAAAATGACATCCAATATGGTGATGTAGCTTTTTCTAAACCTATTCATTCTTGAAAACCACTGCTATTGAGGGGAGAGTGAGCTAGCAAATCACATAAAACCAAATGACATGTATGCCACGATGGACTCGTGTTAATAATTTAGCTTATCACTAAATAATATCAGGACAGAGAGCTGACAATACTAATGAGTGAGGATGGGATCTCAGTTCTGGTCAAGGGCCGGGATTGGACTTTCATGCCCCACTTGTGCTACTGTTTGCAGACAAGGCTCGGTTGGATGAGACAGGTTAACAGGCAAATCTAGGGGCTAGGTTTGGCCCCAGTCCAGCTTCATGGTTTTAATGGCCACAAGAGTGTTGGTTAACTTTGAGATAAGCCAGGTTGAAGGCAATAATAGCGAAATCAGGATAAATTTTAGCTAGACAGATAACCAGATCAAACTTAATCTTCCTTCTTTTATTATTATTATTATTTTGATAATTGAAAAATAAGTAATTTTCTGCATATTGAATCGATGGGCTGAAGAATAATAAACTTTGGGAGCAAGAAATCACTAGTCCAAAATACTTGAACACCAATCAGCACTGATCTCACCAAAGCAAGCCTGCCTGCATATGATAAATGGCTATTATTCCAACCTTAACTTTGATTCTATCCACCACAGGCTGAAATAAATCAATCCCCAATCTTCTACTAGACAGAGGCAATCCAAGGTATCTAGCAGGGAGATGTGCTTCCACAAACCCTAATTCATTGAGAATAGCTTGTCTACTATCGCATACAATTCCACCAAAATAGAAGTTACTCCTAAAACATTATTCAAAATAGTAAAAAAATTAACAAAAACTCTAATATCTCTCTCTCTCAATTTAGGGGTAATTTCGTGAAACAGACAGTGACAAATCAAACAACTGTTGGTTTGGTTGACTCTGTCAAAAAATACGTGATTTCTCGTCTAATTTTGATGTGTGGTTTGGGCGATACGACCCGTTTTTTGTTGCAAGTCATTTTTTTCTATTGGGTCCTTATTTGGGCTTCTGAAAGGTCCAGTTTCTCTATGAACATATCTGTAGTGTGTTCTATATTAGCTTGAAAGTCCTCGCATTGTCCAATCTTCGCATCCACCGAGACAAATAGTCCAGGCACAGAACAAATAAATAAGTTATAGATTAAGTTGCCTACAACTTAGTCATATTTGGTTTGGCAAGTTTTTGGTCAATAGCAAAGTAAAGATTGTTCCAGTAAGACCCCATATAGCTAATCTGAATTAGGCTAGTTTTGAATTAGTCCTTAAGCTTCCGGAGCTGCAAATTGAACAGATTTAATAAGGTTGAAGTGTTTTCTTCTTTTTTTTTTTCCTTTACATCAAAATTTTCATTGCAGGTTGAACGTCTTTCTTATGGATAGAAACTTAAGATATTTCATGTAACAATTAATACAAAATTTTCAGAATCCTTTTTAAACAAGCATCTGAGTAGTTCCATCCTGAATTATTATGCTATCGTCTTATATTTTTTTTTCTTTCAATACCACATGCAGAATCTACAAAAATCGTGGCAAGTATGGAATGTTACAGTTTTATTCTCTAGAAGCTATAATTTTGAGACTCGTTAATCTGACCTCGATGGTTTTGAGTTTAGTAGTCAAGATGGAATGTGGTGATGATTAGACACTTGTTGGTTAAAATAATTAGTACGAACATTAAGGCACTGTTTGGCAACCAAAAAAAGTGTCTTATCTAAGAGCTTGTGTCTTATTGACTTGGTCAATAAGCTAGTAGAGCTGTTTGGTGACCAAAAATATGAGGAGATTATTTAGGAGATTGTGTCTTTTGCAAGTAGCTTTTGGAAAGCTACCTCAAGTAGCGTTTGTCTTTGGGAAGGAGCTGCCAATTTTTTTCTTCCGTTTTTACCCCTAATAATTCTAATTTATATCAATAATATTGCATGTCCTTTATAGTCATTTAACAAATTTAAGCTAGTTGTACAGCTATTTTTGCCAAACAGCTCTAGTCAATTAGCTAGCTACACAGCTAACAGCTTTCAGCTACAATTTCACAGCTTTCAGCTAGCTTTACAGCTTTCAGCTATAATCTCACAGCTTTCAGCTAGTTTTGCCAAACAGAGCCTAAGTGAGTGTTTATTTATTTATTTCATTTTAATGATCAAAGGGTAACTTTACTCAAAAAAATTCAACTCAGCAACATCAAATACGACGAAACCCCATTAGTCGAGGTATGTCTGGTTATATATATTCTCTGATTACAGCGTCAATTAACTAGACATAAGAGATATATATACAAAGATTAATTGCACATAGGCCCCCTTGAAGTATTGTATATTGGACTTAGTATTATTCTAATATGCCCCTCGCGAATGTTGACTCGATCCGTCAATTGGCTAGGAGGTCGGGGTTGCAAAAACTCCCACATAAAAAAAGAGAGAAAAAAGACACCCAGCTTGATACGTTCCAATAAACCCAAAATACAAAGTTAATTTACCTTCAATTCCAAAATATAGAATACGAATAGTATTGCTGCTTATAATACATGCAACATAAATTTAAACTTGATTGTGTCTTCTATTGTTGAGTTTTAGCACGTACAAATGAAAATTAATTCATGGACAACAATTTGTCTTTGGAATTTCTTCCCCCTTATAGGCTGCAATTATAATGTTTCCTGGCTTTTGGGCTATTTTCTATGCTGCTACAGTGCTACGTAGTAGTTTCATGGGATTGCACGAAACAACACAATTTTTACCAATTTCAGCTCCAGCTCTTCACAAGTACTTCAAAGGTGTGTGCATTTCTAGTATCAAATCATAATGTGATATATATTATCATAGGAACAGACAAAAACTACGCAGATGCATGGATTGATTAGGCAGTTGGCCGGAGACTACGAACTTCTAGATGTTAGATCTACGGCAGTCCTTGACACGTATCAGGCTCGGGATTACTCTAGGTCTTAGATGGACGCTTAGGCTTTAGTTCCTGTGACAGTTGGTGGATGGATGCTTTTGATTCCGTGTAGTTCCCTCTTCTGTTAAGTGTTTTTGTTTGTTTTTTTTTTTCAAATATTGTTTTGCTCCTCCACATGTAGCTTCTACGCCTTTTTTTTCCTCCTTTTCTTCTTGTACTCTTTTGGATTGTTTTGTTGAACTCTTATTTATGAAATGGGGAGGCAAATACTCATCGTTTCTCTAAAAAATATGTACATGCTTTTAGGTACTATTGGTGTAGGTGATAGGGGTGAAGAAATTACAGAAACTCAGAAGAATCAGGCAAACCAGGCGGCGGTCGACCGGTCCGGTCGACCGCATTCGTGCACAAAGCTTACTGTGCGACAGAAAGGAGGTCGGTCGACCGGGCCAGTCGACCGCAGGTGTTTCGGTCGACCGGTGCGGTCGACCGAGGGGTTCTCTGGAGTTTTGGGTTTTCTGCTGGGAGCTGGTCGGTCGACCGGACCGGTCGACCGGAATTGATCGCGGTCGACCGTGCCGGTCGACCGACGCTGTTTTGGGCTGGGCTTTCCCGTTTCGGTTTGAAATCTATATATACCCTAAACCTGATTTGTTAGGTAATCAGTAGGACGATTTTGAGCAGCCTCTAAGAGAGATTTGTGGCATCCAATTGTAGGAGAGCTTTGATAGATCAAGTGCTTTGTTTTAGGGTTTGGTCTGAGAGATTTGTAACCCTATTTGTATTCCCTTGATTTCTAGTAGTAAAATCTTCCCCCTCCTTGCCCCGTAGACGTAGGCAACTTGCCAAACCACGTAAATTCTTTGTTCTTGCTGTGATTGTGATTTGTATATTGTTTGTGGTTTAGTTCGAGTTATTGTTCGTGTTGCCCTAGAAAGCTTCCGCCGCGCACAACAATTGGTATCAGAGCTAGACCGACAACATGGGAGATGCAAGCACGTCAGGTTCGTCTCTAACAAAGGCGATACAGAGTCTGAGCATCAATAACACAAAGATTGATGTTCCGAAGTTCGATGGCAAGATCAATTTTGGATTGTGGAGGTGTCAGGTGATGGATGCTTTGGATGCACAGAATTTGGAGGAGACTCTTGAGTTAAAAGAGAAACCCGCTGAGTTGGAGGATAAGGTTTGGAGAAAGATGAACAGTAGAGCTTGTGGTGTTATTAGGTCATGCTTGACGCCGGATCTTATTTATGATGTTATGAACGAGACGTCGGCGAAGAAGATGTGGGAAACACTCAATGAGAAATATCTTACGAAGAGCATTGAGAATCGGCTTCACTTGAAGAAGAGATTTTACCAGTTCAAGATGAAGAGAGGGGTTTCCATCAGGGAGCATGTCAACAATTTCACTAAGCTACTTTCAGATATGGCCAATGTTGATATTATAGTTGAGGATGAAGACAAGGCGATGCTACTTCTGTGTTCGTTGCCCGAAG